ATACCTGCTTGATATCACCGATTTCGCGAGGCATCTTGGCGGTATTTTTCGGGGGGGATTGGCGACAACGGAGGGGGGGGGTCTTGTCTGGTCGGATTGAGTGGTTGCTGTCGTGAGACTTTCGTGGGCTTTTTTGGATGGAAAATTGATTTTGTGGGATGGACCCCTGTGGCAGCGAAGCGCACGGGCCAACGCTTTGCATCGAGTGTCGAGTCAAACTGGGGAGGGGGATGCATCTCTCGAGGCTCCGACCTTATCTTATCGGGGCGTGCTGGAACTCCCCAGGTCGTCGGGGGAGGTTTGTCACCGACCACACCGAGAAGCGGAGTCGGGTCCCGTCGGGTCCCACGGATTTTCAGTTTCCCTTTTCCTCCACAGCCACAGCCACAGGCAGCAGCAGCAGCACCACACCATTTCAGATGGGACGTCACTGTGGCACGCGTCACATACCCCCGAAAGCTCTCGGGGTAGACGTGGCGCTGCACCAAAACCCTCGGCCTGTACCTTGCGCATGGGTTGACGACGCTTCAACTCAATCCAGTTTGTAAACGAACACGTCGCATAACACGTTACCAAAAGTGTCCTCTAAGCTTTTCGCATGCCTTATATTTAGTGCTCTTTCTACTTCTGTTCGCAGCGTTGAAAACCTAAGGTTCCGGCCATTAGTAGCACAAGACCACCACACTGTCACTGCACCGCCACATCTACTCACGATGCCTACACCACTCGACAATGCCATGAGATCCAGGGTCCGTATATCCCACCGTGGTTGCATTTTGTCACTCTGCTAACACTTTATTAGAATGCCGTACTCGGTAAAGCCACATATCGTTACGCCCAACGAGAGAACTAATTGCTGACAATTCACTAGCATTCGGCGGCTTGGTCACGGCGGTAGCTGTGTGGGCCATCTACGGCGGCGACATGTTCCCCGCGGGGCCGGATCCCACAGGCAAACCTGAGGACTGGACCCGAGAGGAGATGAGGAGGTGGCTTGCGGCGGTATTTGCAGCTCTGTTCTCCGTCTCCGTCATTGTTTACTTACATGTATCATAGCGAAACCTGTTTCCGCAGGACAACGACACGAGAGAGGAGCTGCTGGCACGAGTGCTGGCCAACATGAGAGCCCCGAGGCGGTGAGCTGTCTCTGTGGGAAGGAAACATGACTGGTTTCACTGCGTAAAACGATTTATTCCATTTGCTTCCTTGACCCGAGGAGTCACCATCCCGTTCGTTGGGTGACCTAGTAGTAATACAAATATGTCTGCGGAGTGTGAACCCCGATAATGCTCTTGAAAGACGCAAGCACTCTATTCAATCAACTCCCCCTTTACAACTCGTCTCTTCCAGAGGTCTTGCCCACGGTAGGCTCCTCCGATGTGACCTTGCCCGTAGACTTCCAGTTGAGCGCATTAAGGCGCTCTGACAGGTGCGGGTGAGAGAAGTGGTAGGTCGCGTACATCCAATCGGCGTCCATGGAGCTGAGGTTCTGGATCTGGAGCTTGAGGAGGGATCTAGCCAGCTCAGCCGAGTATCCGAGCTTTTGGGCAAAGGCGTCGGCCTGGAACTCGTACTTGCGGCTCAAGATGTTCATGAGCAGCTTGACGACGGTATCCATGGGGGAGAGCGCATCGGAGAAGAGGATGAAGCCGATGATGATGGGATGCTCCGTGAGGAAGCCAAAGTCGGCATACAGGGAGTTATTGCTGATGAATACGGAGAAGAGGGCAAAGATGTAGAGGAAGTGAGCCTATCGTTGTTAGTATATGATGTTACGTCGATTCATGGTAACGGCATACCTGAGAGATGCCAAAGAGGCGCGTGGTGTGGCCGAGACTCCAATGGCCAAGCTCGTGGGCCAGAACGGCAACAACCTCCTGCGTCTCGCTCTTCTCAATGAGGGTATCGTAGATGACAATGTGCTTCTTCCAGGGGAGACCAAAGAAGTAGGCGTTGCTGTGGGCGCTGCGCTTGCTTCCGTCAATCACATAGAGCTCGTGGAGGGGAAAGTTCAGGCTCTTGGCAAGACTCTCGACACCGTTCTTCAGCTCGCCCTCTTCCAAGGGCGACAGCTTGTTGAACAGGGGCAGGATGGCGACCGGGTAGATTGTGATCATGAAGACTTGGAGACCGGCGGCGAACGCCCAGAGGTAGAAGAAGAACTGGTTGCCCGTCTTCTTCACAATGGAGAGGAAACCGGCGAGGATCGGGGGAGCGAGAACAAAGGCGAGGAGCTGAGACTTGATCATGTCGGTGATGAAGAGCTTGGGCGTTTGCTTGTTGAAGCCAAACTTCTCCTCCAGCACAAAGGTCTGGTAGATGGAGCTGGGCAGCGAGAGGACCTGCTGGATCATGATAAAGGCGAGGACGAAGACGATGGACTGGGATATCTCGCCGGTGAAGCGCGCCGGCGCGAACTTGAGCAGCAGGTGACCGGACCATGACCAGAGCTTGGGGAGGACGTCGAATTGGATAAAGGCAATGTTCTGGACCTGACCCCAGAGACCGCTGATGAAACCAAATTCTGCTTTGGCGCGACCGTAGGCTTGAGACTTGTCGAAAACTTCCTGGGAGACTTCCTGTTCGAGAACCTTGGGAGGCTTGGTGTTTTTGAGGACCTGGTACTGGCGGAGCGAGAGGAAGCTCTCAAAGACGAACTGGCCGACCGAGAAGCCGAGAATGAGGCGCTTCCACGGGAAGAGTGGTCGGTCCAAGAACCGCGCGAGGCGTTGAAGGAAATCCATGTTGGCCTCTCTTTGCTTTTCTTCGGATTCCGGAGGGGTTGCAAAGGAGGGACAAGAATGGAAAATATTGGGATTGGAGATGGAAAGAAGCAGGGCCAGGCTCCGGACCTGGTCGCAAGCTGGGTCTGACAGCTTGTGCTTGGGTACGGAGTATTGTTAGCTCAGGCAAGCTGTCCACAGTGAGCCGGCGAATGGAACCAAGTGGGGGCGGGCAGGTGCGGTTCGGGGCTTGCGGCTGCCGGCAGGGTCGATCATTGGCTGCGAGGACTCCAGCTTACCCCAACTTTAATTGGCTGAAACACCCGCCTCATGCAATGTCTTGCGTGCAGTTGAAGCCCCGTCCGAACGGTGGAACCCCGTTTGATGCATGAGCGACGGGAATTGCCGTTCGACTGCAGGAAAGTCTTCCCGCAAAATCTCGAGGCTGTCGATAGTGTCACTTTGAGCTCCACGCCGCTCGACGACAACCACACAATTGCCGCCAAGATGATGCGTCAATCCATCACAGGCCTGACGAGGGCTTTCCTCACCCGCCCGGCTACTCAGCCGGTGCGCGTCGTCACTCAATCGATATCACAAAGGTGCGTTTTGTACCCCTAACAGCAGAGGTGGAAGACAGCAGCTAACCGGCACCATAGGACATTCTCCTCCTTCCCCTCGTTGCGTCCGTCCATTACACCTCTCACATCCGCCTTCCGCCGGCCGAATGCCGCGCCGTTCACTCCCTCGACCGTCGATGGCGCCGTCGCCGACTTGGTCCCCACGAGCGCCATCACGGAGCACCCTGCCCTGGGCGCCATGCAGCTCCGCTGCGGTCCTCGCAACACCATGAACCGCAACACCCGCCTGATCCAGAAGCGCAGACACGGCTTCGTTTCCCGCATGAAGACCAAGGACGGACGCAAGATTGTTGCACGGAGGCGCCAGAAGGGCCGCACAAAGCTCGGCGTTTGAATGTGGCGTGGGAGGATAGAGCTACCGTCGTTAAAGGGAGAAGATGCCATGGCTGCAGACGAGGACAGAAGGGCACGATCGCCCCAAGCAGAATTCTCGTGGTACGTTTAGCCGGTACAGGGGATGGCGTGGCCAAGGTCGGGCTGCAGAAAAACTCAAGCATTAGAGCCTCCGCGAGAGGTAGTGTTCAATATGTATCAATATGAAGCCAATGTACAACATTCACCAGTGGGTTTCAAGAAGTACGTTGAGTTCTGCAGCAATAGTCAGCAGGGCCTCGTGAGGCTGCTCGCTCAGCGCTGACATCTTCGGTCTCGCGCAGGCCGCTGCAAGTACCGAACAGTCATTGCTACGCAACTGTCTGCAAAGTTCAGGTCGAGGCTGTGGTTCTCTATGCCGAGAGTGAAGAGATCATGTTCCCAGCGACGCCCTCAGATGCATGCTCTCGAGCACGGCGAAGGTGCAGCTGGCTCTGAGAAGCAATGAATGAAGCAACACATTCTATTCGGTCATCCTCGAATGGGCCCTGGCAAGTTCCATGACATATACCACTCTCTTGGAATTGCTAGCATCTGTTCAAAGCCATTGTGTCGTGCCCGCATCCTTTCCAACTATACCCGTACCAGGCTTAAAGGGAAGAAGTGGCGAGCAGCGGTCAATACAGGCGGTTGCCCGGTCCTAGCCCCGAAGCAAGGCGGACTTATTTCCCGCACAGCTGGCTATATCATAATGTTTCCCAGACCTGCTTATCAGTTTTTGGAAGACCTTTTGCTGGCTCTTGGGCCTTGGCTGTACTCCTGCTAGCATGGACAATACAAAAAGAAAGAAACGTTATCTCGATCAGCCTGAGTGTCACATGGCACGACGCGTCCAGGGATGGAGGGATCCGTGGACCAGATCAACATTTCGTCATACTCAGGGAAGCTCAAACGCGTTCTGCGCGCGTCGTCGGATGGAAAGGCAAAGAACTTTTAGCTCTGCAACTTTTTGACTTTCGAGAGTGACATCGGTGGCTCGCCCCCCCCCCCCCCCCACGGACGTCCAACGACTCTTAAACACGGCTCCCCTTTCATAGTGCCATTGAAGGAGCTCTCATCCTTCCTATTTCCCACCTACTAGTAGAATAGCTATTCCTGTTAGACTCACTTATACCCATCCGTGCCACACGAAACAAAATCAGAGAACGTATAATGCCTCCTGAAAGACGCTCAACCGGAACGCCGTCCGGTGCCAACAAGAAGGCCAAGACTACTGCTCCCGAGGCCGAGGTCTCTTCACCTGCACCCGCATCTGCCCCTGCCGATGACGACCGCGGTAAGAACCGCTGGCCGGCCAAGAATACCCGCTGATTCAACCGTCTCGGCGTCACGTAACGCCGATGAGGATTACAAGAAGGCCTGCAAGGAGGTTGCCTATACCTTTGAGTACGTAGTCCGGTGTCCCTTTGGCACCAGGCACGGCAATGACGAGGACAAGGAAGAGTAGGAAGAGGAAGAGCCTCCAGTCAAGGGCAAGGGCAAGTCCGAATCTAAAGCAGCTGACAAGAACAACAACAAGAAGAAGAACAACGCACAAGACTAAGACAGCCGCGAGCAGCACCTCGCCTTCGTGGAACTCGAGAGGCAAAAGCCCAAGCAGAAATGCGACGGGGGCAAGACGTGCCTCTGCACCAAGCCGGCGGCCAAGCACCCGGACGTGCCCTATGTCATCACACACGCCGGCTTCCGCAAGCTCATGAACCAGTAGGTCCACTGCCAGCTCTGCGACCCGGACAGCTTCCGCATGTACACGTACGACGACCACATGGCCTATAACGTGCTGCAGGTGCTGCAGAACCTCGTCTTCGACTACGAGGAGGCCAAGGGGAACTGGCGGGAGCAGTGGGTTATCTGCGAGGCGCTGTGCCCGTTCATCTGGTATCTCAACGGTGGTGACTTTGCCATGTAAGTCTAAAGCCACGATGGACCTCATTCTCTGCTTGCATAACGTTACTGACATGTCTTCTCAGGGCCGACGACGGCGAGTTCGTCGACGAAACAGCAAAACTCATCGGCAACCTCTTCCTCGCAACCCTCGCCCGCCTCGAGCGCGAGGGCGTCCTGGCCCCAGACTCGGAAGTAAAAGACCTAGGCTGCGTCATGGCCGGCATGCTCAAAGTCGCCTCCGCCTTCCGCGGCTTCGACCTCTTGCAAGACGAGACCGTCTACAAAAAGTCCAAGAAGCGGCCTTTCCCCTTTACGGCGGAGAAATTTGACAGCTACGTCGCCCTCTACGCCAAGAAGCACGGCATCACCCTCAAAGGCGTCCCTGGGCTGAAAGCTCTCGTCGACAATCTCGACGATGAGGAGGATGGAGAGGAGCTGCCAAACGCCGAGGAACACGGCGAGGACCCTTGGGGGTGGGCGGATGCGCTAGCGTCGTATAAGAAGGGGAGGAAGATTGGCGGGGATAATTTGGATATCACGTCGTGGACGCCCGCGAAGCGGAAGCAGCATGCTTTTAATAAGAAGGACCCGCTTGGGAAGAAGGAGATTGATGCTATCAAGAATGGTATGGTTATGATGCTGGGCTAAGAGTTGGGTTGATCGTGTTGGATCGGGCATAGGTCTGGGAGCTGCTTCTTTGCGTTTGTAGTAATGAGAGATACCACCCTGTATTACTAGACTGAGACTACCGTGATCAAATCCGAAAAATTAATAATTTGACGACAGTCACCATTGACGCCGCTCTTTCTACGGGAGATTTGATCCTACCGTCCTGTTCGCTACCGGTTGATAACGATCAACCAACCCTGTCACATCAACAGTTCTAAGGAGAGTTCAGAAGAATAAATGCACAATGACAATATCAAACAGGGCTGGCCAGTCCACCCTCACACGTCTTCGTATCCGTATAACAAGCCAAGAACAACTTGTCACTCGCCTCCCCGATCCAAATCTTATACCTCCCAGTGGGATTCGGCACGATCCAGTTCTGGCTAACCACATCCCACACGCTCAAATCCCGCCTCGTCAGCTGCAGTGTCACGGTAGCGCTCTCCCCAGGCGCCAGACTCTTCGTCTTGACAAAGTCGCGCAGCTGAATCACCGGCGTCTCGGGCCCGCCGCCGGGGAACTGCACGTAGGCCTGCGCGGACGCTTTGCCAGAGTACTTGGTCCCCGTGTTGGTCACCTTGACCGACACGGAAAAGACAACGTCAAAGAGGGCGGGGTTGCCGCCCTGCGCGCCGCCGGCGGGGGGACCGGGCTTCTGCGCCGTGCTGTACCCCGCCGGGTACGGGTACGTCTCCGTCTTGGAGGCGGCGACGGCGTCCTTGGCCTCGGACTCAGTGCACCAGGAGTAAATGTACCGGAAGATCTTGTTGAAGCCGGACGGCGCGACGCCCTCGGTCCAGTCGGGGATGGGCGCGGTGTATGTCAGGATCCCTTGCTTCGCGGGGCGGGCCGGCGGAGACGCGGTGAGCGCCGTCGCGGAGCTGATGGTGGCGCTGGTGTAGGAGAAGGCGGTGTAGCTGAGCCCGTGGCCAAAGGCGAAGCGCGGCTTGATGCCGTTCTTGTTGAGGTAGCGGTAGTCGATGTACAGGCCCTCGGAGAAGGTGTCCTGGGGCTGGCCGAGGGAGCCGCCGACAAGCTGGGTCACGGAGTCTGGGAGGTCGGATTCCTTCTTGGTCATGCTGTAGGGGAGGTGGCCGGAGGGGGAGGCCGCGCCAAAGACGATGTTGGCGAGGGACTCGCCTGCCTCCTGGCCGGGGAGATGGGCGACCAGAACGGACTTGACGCTAGGGAGATCGATCCACGAGTCGACGACGATTGGTCCGACAGAGTGTATGACGACCACGACGTTTGAATACTTTGCGGCGGCGTCCTGAACTAGCTTGTTGCCGTTGTGCCAGGCGTCGAGACCAGACGAGCTGCGGTCACCGTTGTTGCCCTCGACGACGTACTGGTTCTCCCCAGAGTCCGAAGTGATGAAGACAAATGCAACATCGTCCGTTGTTGGAGCCGGCACGGAGGGGAAGGAGTCGGTGTTGTAGAACGTCACGTTACTGGCCCTCTTCTTGAACGCGGTGATGGGATCGTCGAGGTAGACGTAGTCGACCGTCCCCGAGCCCCAGCCAATACCGAGCAGGCCCTTGTTGCAGGATCGATCGGCACAAGCGTTGGGACCGTCTGGGTTCGTGATGGCATCGGTGCCAAAGACCTTGATCGACGCCGACGTAGCGATGGGCAAAAGGCTGCCATTGTTCTTGAGCAGGGTGATGGCCTCCTGCGCGATCTGCCTGGCCACGAGGTAGTGGTCCGCCTGCACCTGAACCATCTCGTTGACGACGCCGCTGGGGGAGAAGGGGAAGGCTCCAGGATATAGATCTCCCACCCTGTTGCGAGTTCCCGTCGCGAAGTTGAGCGCGGGAAAGCCCGAGTCCTGGCCCATCTGGTACCAGCTCGCCAATACCCTGGTGGCCATGTCATTGATGCGATCCACGGGGACGGATCCGTTCAGCACCGCCCTGGTGAGATCGTACATCCAGTAGCTGTAGCCCGTCAGGGGAACTTGCTGGTCACCGGGGGCGTTGAAGTCCAGACCCGCGAGGGCGCTGCCTACGCCGGACATGTGTGAAAGCCAGTCGCTCATGACGAAGCCTTGGAAGCCGAGCTCGTCTTTCAGGATTCCATTGATGAGATAGCTATTCTGGCTGCATGCCGAACCGTTGACCTGGTTCCGTCAGCTTAAGTTTCAACGATTTGCACAGAAGACTTACCGCGTTATAGGCCGTCATTACAGACCCTACGCCTGCATGTACACCATCCGCAAAAGGCCACAGGTAGAGCTCATGAAGTGTTCGGTCATCTGTCGTTGTTAGTCAACAGACCAAGCACTGGTTCTCTCTCTGCCGTCAACGTACCAATGTTGGAGCTGTAGCCCTGCTGCAGAGGGTTATACATGCGATACATCTCCTGCTCGTTGCCGATGAGGTGCTTGATCGTGGCGATGACGCCCTGCTCCTGAACACCCTTGATCGTCAGAGCAGCAGCCTTGCCCTGCAGCGCAGGATCGGCCCCGAAGCCCTCCCAGTTTCGACCACCGCGGGGCTTTCGACTGGTGTTATGGTTAGCTTCTTCATGGCGACATCATCAAGTGCAGAACATACCCTATGGGACCCACGCTCGGTCCTAGGTAGACATTGGCACCTTTGCCTCGGAACTCCTTGCCTATGGCAACACCGCGAGCGTACATCAAGTCCTTGTCAAAGGTGGCACCAGTCGTGATGCCAGACGGGAACACCGTCACGTTGTCGGCTTGACGGAGACCGGTTGCCGAGTCTGCGAGGCATAGCTGGGGGAAACCGACACGGAGGGCGCTGCCAGAGTTTCCAACGCAGCGGCTTGGCTATAGTTAGCAGGAGTCAAATATTCTGTGGCTGATAAACGTACCCTATGCATGTCAGTTGAACTGGTTGTACCATATCACTCATAGTCAAGACTCACCCATGAAGATGCCAGTTCCGGACGTGATATTGGTCTTTTCAGCCAACGTCATCTTATCGACCACAGCTTTCGCCCTCCTATAGCTGTCTGTCCAGTCCGAGGCCCAGCCGCCGTACGGCGCTGGGTAGTAGGGCGCGGCGACATATCCGGCAGGCACATCGGATCTCACTGATATCACGGCGGCGTCGCAGGACGAGATCTGACTGGTGAGGAGCGCTACGGCCAGGGACTTGACAGAGAATGTGTTTGCCATGGCGGCGGTCGATTGGTCTCGTTACCGCAGGGCTCTTACAGGCTAGACTCGAACCAATGATATAGGTCACGAGAGAGAGCTACGTCAACACAAGCGGACGAACAAGAACTACAGAAACCGCGGCATCGCGAGCACCACCATTCACTTATATACTACGCATGGGATATCCAGCTACTGGCGGATCGGTAGCTCTCACTTATCATTATGACTATACACGCCAATCACGGGCCCTTACAGTCCGCGTGGTATAGGAGGCAAGTGACAACAGACGATCCGCTTGGCAGCTCTGTGGGCTCTACTGACCGCAGGGATATGCAGCCATACCTGACAGCTCATGATGCCCTGATAGCTACCAGAAGGGTCCAAGAGCATTAGAAAAGGGCAGATATTGCAACGTATCAAGGTTGTGGATTGCTCCCTTTGGGCAGCTGTGCTGGATTGTTCGGGCCTATGCTTGTCAGATATGAGCGTTAGAGTGGTCGATCGACATGTCGCGTAGACAAAGTATGGGTTGATACGACAGCGCCAGCGATAAGTCAGTGCAAGGCGGGGGAAATACCACCCTTTCGAGATTCTGTGTTGTAGTTTTTTTGGTACAAAGGATCGATTCGGTGTCGAACCGGATTAGCGGCCGAAACCGCCTCGCTTCGGGCGGGAGTTGGTAGGTGGGAACCTGGGACTTGGAGTTAAGCGACGGCATTCGCAAGTCCCCGGGGAACAATGACAGTTCAGTTGCCAGCGAGGGCGTCGACTCTGGTTGAGAGGAGCGGTGGGTATGACAAGATTAAGCCGTGAAGAAGACCCACGCTCGAGGCCCAAAGGGTCGACAAGACGGCGATAATAACCGCAAATGTCGACATGGCCGATCCAAGGTGGCATGCAAACTGGATGTGAAGATCTCCCTTGTTACGTGCAGGGTGGGCGCTTGGTGGGAATGCCTGGCGAGCTGTGAGCGGTCAGCAAACTGTAAAAGGGAAGAAATACTGCTCGTCCGGGCTCGGCTCCGACGCGGGGAGAGCTGTCAAATTGTGGCCGGGCGTTGCATTGCGCGCGTGGTTCACTGGGCAGGCCGCAGATGTCTATTTCCTTGAATAAGTGCATATGCAGCATGTAAATGGGTGTGTACCATCGGCGCGGTGGTACAAGACGGACCTCGTGATACCCCAAGAGGTCTCTGCTTGGGGTCTGCCTCGTCCACCAGATCGAGTCTAGGGCACTGCTGAAATTAGGAAACTCGCAAGCGAAGAGCACCAGGCGGTCGGAAATCCCAAACTCGGTCCAGCGGCGAAGATCGAGGAGCAGGGGTCAGGGATGACGGAGCGCAGATTTCGGCTCTTGTTCTGCACAGAAAACGGGAATCGATCAAAAGGCAAGGTCGATGGAAGCGGCACGGCATGAACGGCAATCTTGGGAAGAAAGAGGTCAAATGTCGGTTCGAGAGATGGCGCAGTGATGCCTGAATGAGATGTGTGGTAGTGTCCGGTATGTCGTAGCTGATGGCTGCAACATCGCCGGGTGGTCGACTCGTCGTGAGGGGGAGGCATCGAGGTTGTATTGGCCCAAGAGACCAAGACCAAGAGAAAGAGACCAAGAGACCAAGTGGTGGAGGGCGAGGAAGAGGTCTCGTGGGCGCGGACTCCGGATGACAGCCCTTCTTTCTAGAATGTCTCAACCCCGCGTTGCTAGGTCGGCATCTGATCATCAGGTACGGGTAGCCCGGTGGGAAGAAGGGACGAATCGACGATGGACCGTTGACCGTTGACCGTTGGAGGTGGGAGGGTGCGGGTGGGTGGATGAAGGAGGGAGAGTCTGCTGTAGACAGGCGTAGAGAGAAGCTGGCAAGGACGGCATCACGGCATGCGGCATGCCTGATGAAGCTGCAGCCAGAGTCTAGAGACAAGAAGGAAGCTGCGAGATTCAGCTCCGAAGCTCCCAAGCTCCCAAGACGCGGCAGGAAGCAGCATGACATAGCGCTGCCGCCGACCCCAACTCCCCAAGCATTTTCATCCCACCTCCATCTCACTCTACTGCAATCTAGTGGCTTTGGTGTTGCATCTGCCATCCATCTCAGCTGCATCTTCCCGTCTTTAATCACATCCACATGCTTTTTTCTTTGCAAATACTCTTGTCAATAGTCTGTAGGTGTACCTTAATGCCGACAACTATGGGCGTGATGCTCTTGGAACTTGTTCTGCCTGACCGACCTCCATACTCGATTGGGAGGAACGGACCGTGGTACGAGAGAGCATTCGTCCGCGTGATGCCTCGAGAGCAGCTCTCCAGCGTTAAGGGCCGCGTATCACTACACGAGAATCCCGATTCGGTTTTACGTATCATGGTCTTGGCTTTTGACTCGACTTACGACACTAATCGGAAAAAATCAAACTCGCACAAGACCATATTGGCAGCATTTTGTTGAGCTCTTGCGGGCCTCGTCCGGGGGGCCGGCGGGCTTCTTCCAGCAATCGGCCGACCGCAATTGACCACCAGTTCGTTCGGACAAGGACCATTCGGCCAGTTTCATTAACAACTTCTTCCCGGTGCGGACGCTATTGTTTCGACAGAGCCCAACAGAAGTGGGAATTGCCCAGCTTCACCCCGGCTCGTCGCCGTCCAGGGACCATCCACTCAGTCGTTGTTGTTCAATGAGCGGCAAGCCCACTATGGGGATGCTTGGCTCACGTGGCGCCAAATGACACCCCAGGATCGCAGAGTTATTGAGCAGAAACTCGCATTGCTTGTCTCTGTCAGTCTGTCTTTGCACTATCCGTACGGATACCTACCCAAGGATCGAGATGTCTTGGTCTCTGTCTGACCGCACGGGCGCTTCCTTACCACCTTGACGCTCCATCAACCTCATCACACCCACGTGGATTCTGTTCCTCATGGTTGGACTGATTCAAGAACCGATATCACTCGAGGCTTGCTACTAATCACTCCGAACCGCTGACCTGCCACCAATACTTGGCTATAGTGGCCAGGACCAGGTCCTGTCCTCTTGTCTGTCTGACGAGGCCACCCAATGGCCAAAGCCGTCTATCCCGCACTGCCGCCCCCCGGTAGGACCTCTTGAGCTTGGCCCCCTGCTAGATGGAGTATGGAACCGCCTTCTCCAAGGACGCATCTCTTCCATTCGCAACTGGCGCTTCTAGTGCCGATTTCCACCGCTCTGTGCCTGGCGAGATTGCTCCAAGAGGCGGAGGAACTGCCAGAAACCGCAAAGTCTTGCGTATTGTTTGCTTTAGCGTGAGAAGTCTCACCCTGGCTCGCATATCCCCAATATCGAGGGGAGTTGGTTTGCTACCGGCCCCCAACCTCGCCCGAGCCATGAATGCTTGAGTTGGAGGCATGGTGGACACTCACCGCAACCCTTACAACGGACCGTTGTCTGGGGTGTACGACTCGATGTTGATCCACTGGCCTCTTTACCCCGGTGCTCCGTTCGTTGCTCTCTTGATTATGTATAAGACGTTGCGGCAGCGTGAGGACGATAGCCTGCCTTGTCTCTCTGTTCGTTGTGCCCCACGAGAAAGTCCTCGAGTTCCGTCTCTGTTCCTGTTGTCTTGAGTTGCTTCGTCTACCGTCATCATGTTGGCCAAGTTGTCTCTTCTCCCTTTGCTGTCTGCCGCGATTTCGGCGTCTCCCCTCCTCGATGCCAGGGCCCCGGTGGCTGCTCTCGACGAGAGAGCCGTGACGGTGTCGAGCGCCGACCTGTCCAACTTTGAGTACTACGTTCAGGTAGGACATGCCCAGACTTTCCGACTTGACCGCATGTGCTAACATGTAACATAGATGGTGGCAGCAACCTCTTGCAACAGCGAGGCCGCCGCTGGTGCATCAATCACCTGCAGCGCCGATGCTTGCCCTGATGTCACCGCCAACGGAGGCAAGATTGTGGGAACCTTTTCGTAAGTTGACCATATACTCCTGACTTCTGACCTAAAGGTAGCTAACACACTCCAGCGGTCTCGTCTCTGGCCTCGAGGGCTTCGTCGCCACGGATCCCGTGAGAAAGAACATCGTCATTGCCATCCGCGGCTCTAGCAACGTTCGCAACTGGATCACCAACATCCTCTTCGGCTTCGACGACTGCGACTTTGTCGACGGCTGCAAGGTCCACACCGGCTTCGCCAACGGCTGGGACGAGATCAAGGACTCCCTCCTGGCCTCCGTCAAGTCCGCAAAGGCCGCCAACCCCAGCTACACCATCGTCGGCACCGGCCACTCCCTCGGCGGCGCCGTCGTCACCATCGCCGCCGCCGACCTCCGCCGCGACGGGTACCCCGTCGACATCTACACCTACGGCAGCCCCCGCGTCGGTAACGCCGCCTTCACCAACTTCGTCACCGCCCAGGCCGGCGCCGAGTACCGCGTCACCCACGTCGACGACCCCGTCCCCCGCCTGCCCCCTATCCTCTTTGGCTACCGTCACACCAGCCCCGAGTACTGGCTCTCCACCGGCAACGCCACCACCGTTGACTACGCCGTCGCCGACATCAAGGTCTGTGAGGGCGCCGCCAACACAAAGTGCAACGGCGGCACGTTCGGCCTCGACGTCGACGCCCACCTGTACTACCTCCGCAGGACGGGCGCCTGCAGCACCGACGGCTTCGGCATCAAGGAGAGGGAGGAGGACATCTCGGACGAGGACCTCGCTGCGCGCCTGACGGCCTGGGCCCAGCAGGATATTGAGTACGCCGCGTCGCTTGAGGGGTAAGGAGGACGACAAGGGCGTGCCGCATATACGAAAGAAAAATCAAATGTCATGACCATGTTATGAAAGGCAGGGAAGCGGGCTTCTGGAGTTTTTGGGGGAAGCATCATCATCATCATCATCAAAAGGATACCATCAAGGAATATCACCAAGGCATTGCGGCTGAAGGAGATATCGTCAAGAATATTCACGTACATAATTAGTATAGTACATAATCCACGCCCAGCGTCAAGCTGGGGCGTTGAACCGCAAACATCTACTCCCTCTGAACAGCTGTGAATACCAA